TTATACATTCTTAACATTTCTTTTAGACCTGAGGCAGAAAACTGGAAACATGGTGAAAAAATAAAATCTTGTTGGTTTTTGACTTATGCATAATACTACAAAAGGGATAATGGATAACAATGTTAATAAGTATTATTAATATAGGACTATTGACTTTATTTATCCCACAGGGGAAACTATTAATAATGAGGGGAATAAACTGAACTATCATTGTAATCAACTGTCATCATACGTATTCATTTTAATAATTTTTTATAATAATTCCTATGATTTTTACATGTGGCCTGAGAAAATTATGTGTATTATCTTGGTTTGTGAGATCGGAGATTGCGCTTGCGCGCACATTCAAACATTCAGGAGAACACAAACTTGTTGTGAACCCTGCCCCGATACTTTTATTAATAAAATAGCTTAGATACGGAATTGCTACATATTCATTTTACGAGCCGTAGCTTTGCGTCAGTCTTGCCTTCACGTCGTGCATTAAAATAGTTTAAAGCCGTGTATTCGCTCTTTAGCAGCAGTTTTTACGGCAATATTTAAATGACACCCTGGTAGGGGCATGCGATATTGACAAAAAAAAATATCTCTATTTTCTGGGATTTTATCGATGACGATAATTAAACGATATTTTGCTGAGTGTGTTATTGTGCTGGTACCTTAAGGACTGCCGAAGACAGCTGACTCCTAATGTTTTTAATATTCTGTGTGCTGGTCAGTTCATACTGATAAAAATGTATCTTTTCCAATAAGTTTAAACCGATTTTTACATTTTATGGGCATTTTTACCTTTATAAAGCCATTTTTATATAGAAGTGTCCATTATCTTTTGAGTCAAATTCTTACATTTAATCAGGGAATTAGAATAATAAGACATTTGGGCTGTTACCAAGCAAATGAAATCAACACAGAAGCTGCATCTGAAGTGGCATTTAGATGTATTTACACACATGTATTTTGTTTAATGCAAGACATGAATGCATTTAATCTGCAATTACAAATGCATAAATAATGTTTTGATATATTAAACATAAAACGTTGAATACTGATATTTGAAATGATTTAAAACATGAAAAAAAAGAAAAGAAAAAGACGAAATTTGAAATTAAAAGCGCCAGCAGGTGGCAGCAAATCCCTCTTAATAAGTGAGTCATTGTGATTGAACCGAATCATTTAAACGGTTGATTCATTCAAGAACGAAACACCGTCATGTTGCTCAGAGACACAAAACAGCGCTGTGGCTGTATTCGGGATGATTTTTGTTGGCGAAATAGAGCAAAAACAAGCAATATGGTGTCTAAAACGTAAGGCTCTTAATTAACTTATTGTTTATTGAATTCAATGTCACATTTGTAATCATGGTATTTTTTGGAGAAAAACGGCACTCTTCGTGTGAAATTGAATAACTATATGAAGTGGTATAAATATATACATTTTCTGCCATGTCTTGAATTTGTGATCATTCTAAATGCATTTTAATAGACTGAATCGTGCAGTGAAAGAATGCACTCTAAATGCGCACACGCATTAGTCTAGACTTCACGTAATGTATGCGTGCGCTCTGTAGGGATGTTTTGAATGGTTTTGCAAAATACTCGATAATGTAAAATTGCACCTCGTTAAAACAACAATTACGATATTATCGCAGACGATATATATCGCACACCCCTACACCCTGGTCATTCTTGGTGTACCCAAAATGGTTCCACACTATCGACTCTGGTGGAAATAAAGGACCACACTTTGGTTCCTCTGTCATAGTTAATCTAGTGTGTGTAGTAGCCTCTGTGTCTCTGATAAGCACAGCATTTTAAGCTGGTGCACCGCTAGTGTAACTTTGTTTACGTTTTGCGCAAGTTGCAACTGTTCCGTTCTGTGCAACAGAAACACTCGGTGTAGCGGAGCCTTTATGATTAATTAACCGTGACATTTTAAAGCGCTGTTAATTGTGAATTACTGCATCCCTACTGGCGCTATAGTTAAATAAAATTAATTTGACCTTCAAGGCGGGCGGGGGGTGCGAGCCGCCCCCCTAATATAATGTCAGGGGAAACACTGCACTCTCCTTACGCCTTCTTTTTCCCATCTATCATGTGTTTCCAATGCATTTCAGTTTTTTCTCAACAATGCTCTAACGCAGACAGTAATGCAATCTTGCTAACCTTCGTCTTATCTACACCTCTTCTACTGCACCCATCTCTTTTTCCTGTGGGTCTCTGGAATTGTCAGTCAGCTGTCAACAATGACTTCATTCCAGCCATTGTTTCTCAGTCCACTATTAGTATCTCAGGCTTTACTGGGACCTGACATAACCAGCTGGACATTAACCAATCAGGTTTCAGAAGCAGCCATTAAGCTGAGACTGTGTTACTGTTGGTCACTGAAGCCCTGCAGATTGCGAAAGCTGATTCCAGATCATGTGTTCTCATTCTGCTGGATCTATCTGCCGCTTTTGACACTGTAAATCATCAGATACTCCTGTCCACCCTCTCATCACTGGGCATCACAAGAACTGCATTTCATTGGTTTGAATCCTATCTCACAGGTGGGTCTTTCAGGATGGCCTGGGGAGGAGAGGTATCTAAAGCAAATTATCTGGTCACAGGGGTTCCTCAGGCATCAGTTCTTGGACCCCTCCTCTTCTCTATATACACTACATCACTGGGATCCATCATACAAGTACATGGTTTCTCCTACCATTGCTATGCTGATGACACACAGCTCTATCTTTCATTTCAACCAGACGATCCAACAGTAGTTGCACAGATCCCAGGCTGCCCTGGTGAACATCTCGGCATGGATGAAGGAAAATACCTGCAGCTCAACCTGGCAAAGACTGAGCTTCACGTCTTCCCTGCCACTCAAACTCTACAGCATGATTTCACCATCCAGCTAGGTTCATCAACAATTACCCAATCAAGTTCAGTCAAAAATCTTGGTGTAATATTTGATGATCAGCTGATGATCAGATGATCAGCTGCCCTTCAAGGACCACATTGCAAAAACTGCTCGATCTTGCAGGTTTGCATTGCAAAACATCAGAAAGATCAAGCCATACCTAATAGAGCATGCTGCACAACTTCTTGCTCAGGCCCTTGTCATTTCTAGTCTGGACTACTGCGATACTCTTTTGGCTGGACTTCCATCATGTACAATCAAACCTCTACAAATGATTCGAATTGCAGCAGCATGGTTGATCTTCTTCAACAAGCCCAAAAGGGCCCACATCACACCTCTCTTTTTCTCCGTGCACTGGCTACCGTTGCGGCTCGCCTCAAGTTCAAGATATTGATGATTGCATAAAGAAAGAACAGCTACAGGCTCAGCACCCTCCTACTTCCACACACTCTTACGAATCTACATCCCCTCCAGAAGCCTGAGATCTACAAGTGAGCACCGCCTCATGGTACCATCACAAAGAGGCACAAAATCACTTTCCAGAACATTTTCATTTATTGTTCCGGGCTCGAACAAATCCTTGACAATTTCAAGCGACAGCTGTAAAACTCATCTCTCTTTCATCATCATTTGACTGCATCCTAATTTAATTAAAAGAACCTTCACTTTCACTTTCATTAATCCCTCCCTGTTCTAGCTTTTCAAACTTTGTATTACGATCATTTCCTGTGTTTATTTGCCTCTTTATGATGAATCGCATGTTGTATTCCTCAATTGTAAGTCACTTTGGATAAAAGTGTCTGCTAAATTAGTAAATATAGAGTCAGGCAGAGTGTTGACTGTTAGCAAGGTGACAGAGTGACAGCTCATCAAGAAGGAACGCTGCACTGAGAAGTATCAAAGACTGTAGAAAACCCAAGACGTGTCACTCGTATAGTTTTGAATGGGGGAAAAATGCAACGCTCAATATGGCTGCTCTATTGAAGGAAGCCCCACCTTCTGAGTAAAAGAGCCAATCGCTATTCGGTAAAGTCATTGTGTCACTGTAGCTGCCGTTAGAAGTCCAGGTTGCTATAGAAACAATCAGTGTTCTGAGATGCGCGCTTAGGACTGCACATACACACTGGCTGGTCTAGCTTGAAAAAATACGCTTTTTTTGACACTTTGAGCAAAAGAAACAACATTTATGAGACCAATGTTGTCAGATTTTATTGTTCATTTCAAATATGAAATGTAATCGTAAGCTTGGCGAACAGTTTTGGAGAATTTGATGTTTCCCAATTCAAAGAGATAGGAGCTTCACTTGCATGCCTGAGAGGCGTTTCAAAGATGGCCGCCGAGTGACATGACTTGGCTTAAAGGGACTTTGGATGTATCACCTGAAATAAATGCTTCCCCCTTGTGGATACTAACATAATAGGCAACTCTGTCCCCAGAGGATGATTGTAAATTAAGTTTACAGTAAATATGCTTGAAATTTCATTCTGCATCTTCTCAGATACTGTGATTTCATTGTAGTTCTTATCACGACGTCACTGAATTCACCATTAACTATTTACCTTAACAGTTTGTTGTTGTATATGATATCACTGTAATCCTTGACTATAAAAACATAGGGGTAGACATCACCTTTTCTGTGCTATCATGTTTGGTTCAGGAGGTATAATATAAAATACATAATTTGGTAATAGAGGAAAGTTAAATGGCTGCCATGGCAACCACGAGGCATTTTGCGATGGCTCCATTGCTAAAAATGTTCATGGCTGCAAACTGTACAAGTGTACCAAGTTTCATGCTTTTATGAAAAAGTGAAAAAAAATTTCGCATATCACCTGGACTATTATAGGATTCCAACATAACATCAAAAAATAGATCTTAAAACACAGTTGCCAATAATACAGGATAGATGTCCAACGGCATCATAAGATACCTGCAAAACACTAAAAGATTATTTAAAGTAAACCTTTAACATTTTTAAAACTCCTATTGAAAAACAAGAAGTAGGGTTTTTGTAACCTTTACACATTCCTTTAGAAATATATCACTTTGGACAATGGAGAAAAACATTTTAAACCTTTGCCAATTGTTATGTTTATGTGCAGATTTTCGCTGCTGCTGCTGGATCTGGAGGAACATTATTTTGAACAGCACACTGCATATAATCTGACCGGAAGAGGTCCGGAGGCAAACAGGTGAGCTAACTAACTGATCTTGAATAATTTATTTGGGAAATGCAATATGTTTTCAGAATATGACACCGAACTGCTTGGCTGTATGTTTGTCTAGTGATGGGGAGTCGACTCCAAAAAGGTTGATTCCTTGATTTTGAATAGCCCTTGTGCCAGAGTCAATTGTAAAACAGGAATCGATTCTTGTTGACTCTGTTGATGTGTCTGAAATCGTTTACTTGTTCACTCATTTACTGATCCCTATTCAGTGCATGGCAGTTAAGTGCACGATACCAGCAAGGAGTGAACTAAATGAGACGAGGTATTTGGACACATCCCACATCAGAGAGCCGGAGCTGTTGCAGATCTAACTTTTTCACATATGTTTACCTACACTCGTGTTCACATTCCATAGTGTCACAGGTGTGCATTGACCAAAACACAGACACAACAAACAAGAGACTGAACGTGATTCATTGGCATCATGTTCATTTTTGAAACTATAAGAAATTGGGTGTATAGCAGGATGCGTTTTTATTGATGATTCCTTGAACCCTTATGTGAAGGCATATTTCATAATTCATTGATCCCACCCCCAGTTCACACCTTAGTTAGTTTATAAGAGTAGTTCAAACAAAAATTTAACTTTTGTCATCATTTACTCACCCTCGTTTTGTCTTCATATGATTTTTCTCTCCACGGAAAACAAAAGTGGATTGTCTGAGATGTTTTTTTTTTTCCATAGAAGACTTGACTTGTTCTGATAGAAAGCATCATAGTATGTAGTATGATATAACTTTTATGGTACATTATAGATCTTCTGAACCCTTACAATAGTTCTGTGTTGAGAATACACAAAGCTGTTTCATTGTTTGCTGAAATTCTTCCCCTCCTCTGTATGAGTCAGAATTTGTCACTAAACAAATATAGTCTTTGATGACTTTTTAATAACTCTTTTTTTAATATCTCTTTTTATACACAGACGAACTAGTGGCTCGCTAAAAATCTGTTCCAAATCAATCATTTTTGAACCTGATGATGCTGTTAAGCCTATTTTAAAGGTATTATCTTCATATTATTTATCACCAGGCTTAGTTGCTGTTTTTCTTGTTCTACAATAAGAAAATGTATTTCTTGCAGATTCTTCTGAAAGACTGCAAAGGAATAGGAGCAGTGGAGGAAACGGCCCACAACCCATTCATAGAGTAATACTGATGATTAATGTTCACAAAAATCATTTGTTTTGTTTGATGTATTCGGGTTTAGTGCAATTTTGCATTGATATAGTTTTAATTCTTTTCTTTTTCAATTCCTTTTTATGTGTGTTTGCAGAAGTAAACCTGCCTGTATTCTTATAGAAACCAAGCAGGTGAGTGTGCCTCACAGTTCCTCTTAATTCTTTCATATCTGTAGTCTTATACGTTTCAGGTTTTATTAATTTTTTCCCCCTCAGATTTATCTAATTAAAGAAGAAAATGTGGTTGCTCCATATAAATATGAAAGGGTGAGTTCATTTTTTTTCTGTCTCTGTCCAAGATAGATGAGAAGTGGGTGGGGAACAAATATTTACAACGTTGATATTTTCATCTGTTGTTTATTAGAGTTTCGGCAAATTTCAAGACATAATATTTATTAATTTTTTATTTATTGATTGATTGATGCATGTTAGGGAGAGAAAAAGGTCACATTCCAATTGGAGGTGCCGGGAAAAACAGAGGATGTTGTTCAGATGTTATTACAGGTTTGCCAATAGGTTTTCCTTTTTGTTGAGATTTCTGATTTTCATTGGGTCTTTCATCTTGTTTAAGTAATTTGGCAATTTTTGCAGTTACACAGAGCATCCTGTCTGGATAAGCAGGGTGACCAGACAGCAATGGTCAGTAACATTAAACAAATTTCCATTAATCATAATTTGCTTCCTTTTTTGAATATTTATGGGTGATCTGTGTCTGATCTGTTTTTCTGCTGAAGGTTGCAGCTATACTGCAGTCCAGGTTAGCAAGAACATGTTTTGATAAAAACAGGTAAGAACCAACAAGGATCATAATCATTCATTTATTCAGTTGTTGATGATCTCAGAGTTTCACACCGCATACAAAATAGTTCATAAGGAGTACATACACTACCATTCAAAAGTTTGGGATCAGTAAGAGAGTTGTGCTTTTTTTTGTTTTTGTTTTTTTTTTAAAGAAAGAAAGCAAGAAAATGTTTTACTTTTATTCACAAGGATGCATTAATTTGATGCTGTTTTTTAAAAACTTTATATTCAAAGCATTCTGCAGAAATGTAATAATAATAATACTGTGGCTCCAAGATGCTTCAAGAAACCTCCCTGCAAAGCTACAGTACTGTTAAACGTTTTAGGCACTTGATGAGGATGCTGTCAAAAATAATGTCATGAATAGATTTTCTTTATCAATTAACTTCTATTATTTGGTCATTCTATCATTTGGTGTGACCATCCTTTGTGTTTAAAGCTTTTGCCCTTGGTGCAATCGAGCATAGTTTTTCAGGTAGCTTTATAGGTTTCTTGAAGTATCTTGGAGACGTTGCCACAGTTCTTCTGGATTTAGTCAGTCTCAGATTGTTCTGTTTCTTCATGTCATTCCAGACAGACTGGATGATGATGAGATCAGATCTCTGTGTGGAGCACTGACTGTTGTCAGACTCCTTGTGCAAACAGCAATCTCACTGGATTATTACAATTAATGGCAAAATGAATGTTTGGAAATGTTGTAGACTGATACTTCCTACTGACACACTACAGCAAAAGATAGAAATAACTGATTTAAAACCATTTTTAGCTGGTGAAAATACTAGTGTTCTCATCATTTTGGACACTACTGTAGAAAACAGGGTAACACTTTATTTCGATAGTCCACTTTAGACATTCTATTAACAGTAAGTAACTTTGCAACTACATGTCAACTAGCAGTTAGTAGAGTATTAGTAGACTGTCTGCTTAATATCTTCTAACACTTTCTTTGTCAACTTATTCTTCTAACCCTAAACCTACCCTAACAGTCTACTCTGAGAGTTAGTAGACATGTTGTTGCAAATGAATGAGAATTAGTTGACATGTAGTTACAAAGTTACTTATAGTTAGTAGAATGTCGAAAGTGGACTATCGAAATAAAGTGTAACCGAAAACAGTTCTTTTAAATTGTAGTAATATTATTTTTACCAAAATAAATGCAGCCTTGGTGAGCATAAACCCTCATGTACACTGCACGTGTCTGAGGCGCGTTACGGCTCCGATGCGACCACAACCAAAATAAACATTGAACGGTAGTATATGTCTTTCCAATATTATTAGGTTGCAGTATTCAGAGAGTTAACAGACCCCAAACCTCTGTTATTTCAGAACTGTGGTCTAGTAGAAAGATGGATTAATTATAATGTTTGTGTGTGCAGTTTTCAGCATGTAACAGAAAACCCACACATGGAGTGTGTGGCAGAAATGGTTTCTCCTTTGGTGACAAACGCTGGTCACGTTTGCATCACTGATTGCAATCTTTACTTCCAGCCTATGAACAGCTATCCTGTGAGTTTTTGTGCAAGCCATGCTTTCTTTGGCACATTTCTTTTTATCATCTGTGCAGTTCCTTCACTGCAGTTCTTATGTGTGTTTCTGTATTTCTAAAAGGATTTAGTGGTGCAGATTGGGTTACATAGTGTAAGACGCATCTACAAACGGAGACATGGGTTGAGACCTTTGGTGAGTGTTTATTTGATGTTCTTCATTTATTTATTTGTTCTCTAGTTTTGTGTCTGTTATGGTATTTACACACAAAAACAATGATATAATTTGCAGAGATGCATTTATATGTGAATTTATGTGTATTTACTGTGTGTGTGTGTGTGTGTGTGTTAAGGGCCTTGAGGTGTTCTGCACAGAGAATGATCTGTGCTCTGATATCTACCTGATGTTCTACAGTACTAAAGAAAGAGATGAGCTTTACTACTACATTGCAACTTTCCTTGGCACATATCTTTTTATCATCTGTGCAGTTCCTTCACTGCAGTTCTTATGTGTGTTTCTGTATTTCTAAAAGGATTTAGTGGTGCAGATTGGGTTACATAGTGTAAGACGCATCTACAAACGGAGACATGGGTTGAGACCTTTGGTGAGTGTTTATTTGATGTTCTTCATTTATTTATTTGTTCTCTAGTTTTGTGTCTGTTATGGTATTTACACACAAAAACAATGATATAATTTGCAGAGATGCATTTATATGTGAATTTATGTGTATTTACTGTGTGTGTGTGTTAAGGGCCTTGAGGTGTTCTGCACAGAGAATGATCTGTGCTCGGATATCTACCTGATGTTCTACAGTACTAAAGAAAGAGATGAGCTTTACTACTACATTGCAACTTTCCTTGGTAGGCTTTATTTTTATGTGTGTGTATTAATCTAGGGTTCACTGGGAGGTTGTCACATGGACTGTATTTCTGTAAATATAGGGGTGTTTAGCAGTGGTGTTGTTTATATATAAAATTAGAAAATTATCATATTTTTGAAATAGTTGTTGGGTAAACGCAGTAGTGAACATAATAAAACCACATTTGAATCCAAAAAAATTGATTGTAATTTTATTAAAATAGTGGTTTGGTGTTTTTCGTTAACTTTTCAATTTTTGCCATTTCATGAATTCTGTTTTGTTTTACAAATCAGTGTCAGTAAACAGCAGAATTACCCACCATAGTCTTTTTTTTTTTTTTTTTGCTGAGAAATATTTAGTGTTTTTTAATAGCCAAAAAAAAAAACCTTTCTAAAATATTTGATTGAGTAAAACGTGTGACAGCCAGCCCTGTCAGTATTAGCCTCAATGTATAAAGGTTATATATAAAGGATAACTGTATTATCCTGTATATAAAGGTCTAACTTAGGCTGAATTTTTTCATCATTTGAGCATTGGGTAGTAAAGCAACTTTATGGTTAAGATGTATTTTGTAAATGTAGTTTGGTTGCATAAGCCTGTCACTTCAAACCAACCATTAGTGTTTTTTCTTCATTAATAGTACACAAAATGTCAACAAAATAAAGAGTACAGTCAACATTCATTGACTTTAATTGACACACCCCCAACTCAGAAGGTTGGGAGTTAAATAAAATCCCCCTCTTAATTATGATATTGTAGTGGAATTCCTGTTATTTAACTTGTAAGTATGACTTGAACAGAGCATGAAGTTGGTCTCCAGGAGCAGAAGTGGGACCTGTTCTACCAGACAGACCTAAAAATCATGTAATAGCAACTATGTTCCAAAAACCAGATCTTGGTTTTCCAGCAGGGTCTAGAACAAAATGAATTTGTGAGTATGTACATTCCAGTTTAAACGCATTGTATTTACTGAAGATCTGTGTGTATGTGATGTAGAAAACCATATAGCGGAGTGCACAGCGGAGAGCTACATGCTGCAGTGGCAGAGAGGTTACATCTCCAACTATCAGTACCTACTTCATCTAAACAATTTAGCAGACCGCAGTGTGAATGACCTATCCCAGTATCCAGTGTTCCCCTGGGTCATCAGTGACTACAGCAGCACACAGATGGGTCAGTCTCCCTCGACTCCCACAGACACACACCTGAGAACACACGCTCATGCTAAAAAATATCTCGTTTTCAGATTTGCTGAACCCGGCTTCATTTCGAGATCTCAGTAAACCAATTGGAGCTTTGAACACCGAGAGACTGGAGAGATTATTGGTGAGAAATCCAGTAGTCACAGACAGCCTTTTTAATATTCCGATGTTCCTTATCATCATATAAAAATCTCTTGTGTGTGCGTGCTACAGGAACGCTACAGAGACATGCCTGAGACTCGTTTTATGTATGGCAGTCATTATTCATCACCTGGATATGTGCTTTTCTACCTTGTCAGAGTTGGTAAGGATTTGTTTCAGCTTTATGCTTCTGTAGCAGTATTCATTTATTTAATGGATGACCTCTCTATACCGATTTAGGTGGAATTGATACAAGAGATGAGGGCATCTATTGTCTATATTTGAGCATGTAAATTCAAGCTAATTTGTCAATTTAATGTTGCCATGATTATAGCCATTGTTGCTGATATGGCATTAAAAACATAAATGAATATATAAACAATCCGTCTCGATGGTTATGAGTGGAGTCCTGGAACATAAACAGGTGCGCTCTGGCCAGTGAAATTGTGGTTTTACTTGCATGTGACTTGCATAAACTTTGGTAGCTTTGAAATGTTGCCTTGTGAAAGCAAACCGAAGGAGAAAACACCATTATAATAATTAATGTCAATGTTTCAGAACAAAGCATGCAATCTATAGATCTGAATATGCACTTAGTGATAGCTTTTGTATGCTGCATTGTTTGATGACATGTCTTTTGCCTTCCTGCAGCTCCAGAGCACATGCTTTGCCTACAGAATGGACGATTTGATCAGGCAGACAGAATGTTCAACAGGTATTTGCACACACCAGCAAACAAACACACACACATACTGAAAAAACATTTGCTTACATTAATGTGTATTTGTGTATGCAGTGTTGGTGAGACGTGGAAGAATTGTTTAGAGGGAGGCACAGATTTCAAAGAGGTGAGTTTTCCGAATTTAATGTCCTGCCTTTCTATTGTATTGCAAACCTGTATTTTTTTTTGTTAATAATAAATAATTTAGTGTGGTAAAATTGACTATGTTGTGAACCAGTCCAATTGTAGGTCATGCAGTTAAAGTACTTGGTGTGTTTGTATCGGTGTATATACAGCTGATTCCTGAGTTCTATGGAAGTGATAGCAGTTTTCTGAAGAATCTGCTTGGTTTGAATCTGGGCAGGAGGCAGGGAGGAGGCAGAGTTGAAAATGTTGAACTTCCTCATTGGGCATCAGGTGCTCACTCTTTCTTGTGTCCTTCTCACTTTTTTTCCAATTTTTTTTTTCCAAGTTAAATTTAATTAAAAAATAATTTCACGTCCTCATCTTGTGCTTTAAACAACAGTGGAAGTTTTGAAAGTCGTTGGTTCAGCCTGTGTATTGGTCTGTATCAAAATTGTCAAGTCTGATTAATTTCCACAAATCAGTCGAAAAAATTTGCAAGGAATGGTTAAAAAATAATTAAATTAAATTCACTAAAAAAGATGCGCATTTTTTCATTTAATCTTGTATTAATTTAATCTAGTGTAATCTAGTATAGTATATTTGTAGTTCTTGCATTAACTCTAAAATAGTCTAAAAATATATATTTCTTTAAAATTATAGTCCTTCTGATTTGGAAAAGTGTTGATATTGAGATATCTACAGAATATAATCTCATAGCTGAAAAGTAATAATATTTAATCAAGATAATCATCCAGTGCTAAATGTGCTGAAATAGCAAATCATTGTTGTTCATGTCAATGTGTGTATCTGCTTTCTTTTAATGTAAATTAAAGGGGTCCTATTATGCTCTTTTACAAAGACTTGATTTTGTTTTGGGAGTGTACTAGAACAGGCTCTCATACTAGGTTGTTCGAAAAGCACATTATTTTTCACATATTTTACATTATTACAACACCTCTCTCCCCAGTCTGGCATGAACGGCTCGAATAGTTCCTGTATCAAATGAAAGCCCGCCTTCTAAAGTGCGAAATGTGCTGTGATTGGTTAGCTGGGCCAGTGTGTGCTGTGATTGGCAGCACTCGCCGCCTGGTCGGGAAATGTCATGCCCCTTACCATTAGGGATGGGCGATACCACTTATTTTGTTTTCGATACGATACCGATATTTTTCAAGGCAGTATCGTCGATATCGATACCGATACGATACTTCTGAACTAAACTTTTAAATGATGAAATGTATTAAATTATTAAATTACTAAGAGTAAAATGGGTAATGATAACCACTTAACTTTGTTTAAAACACATTTTAACATTCAATACGCCTTAATTGTAATTTATTAGGTTATATTTTTGTTTGCACATGGTTCAAATGTGTTTTTGTTTACACATGATTCAAATACTACAGTTGAACTACGGTCACTTTAGTAAAACCATGGTTCATTATCATAAGGGACTGCCAGTGACAGGCTGTTGCATCCATAAAGTGCAACCTTTTTGTTCTGACAGTGTATGATTTCTATTAACATTACTGAATAGAACATGATCTATATTATCTTTCAACGTTCAATTTAAATAAATGTAATTGTACAAACTATGTAGGCTACGATTTGTTTATTGTGAAATAACTCAAACATATGTTTTTTTCTGTCCTCTGATAAGCATTGTTCAGTGCTGCTGTTCCCAAAAGCTTTAATGCTTTCTTATGATACTTTTGGGAAATGCAGCCCTGTTTGAATGCACTTTTAGAAGTGAGTGAATGCTCTCTTTGATTGATTAGTTCTGTCTTGCAACATTTGTGTGTGTTCAGATGAGCAGGAAAATAATTATATCCTACACAATTACTTGCGAACAAAAGTTATTTGTCCAATTCAATGCATTTGTACGCATTATTATTATTATTATTATTTTAAATAAACAAAATCACTGTTAAATAAAACACACCTTAGTATCGATATTTTTAGTTTGAGTATCGATACTTTCGATACTCGCGTCAGTATCGATATATCGATACTTAGGATCGATATGCCCATCCCTACTTACCATAGCCGCCTGCGAGTTTCAGTGTAAATGTTGCGTCAAAATCAAATCAATTTGAGCACGATTTAAACCCGGATGATTGTAACCACTCTAAGTTCGTCTGCCTTGGGAAAGCTAGCGTGTCTCCGACATAGTGATAACACTCGTTGCCTTCTCAAGTGCAGCTCAACCAGGTCTCGTCCCATTCGTCAATATTTGTAATATCACAAATCCCGGAAAATGTGCATTGTAGTCCAAACGAGTCGTTCGTTGTAGTTTTTGAAAAGTGATTTCTGTTATATAAAACATCTCCTTTTGAATTGGACTTTGAGCTTTGTAACTTTGCAGATCTTTTTTTATGCTCAAACAGCAACATTACAGACTAACTAAAGTTGAAAAAGTGAAAAAGCATAATAGGACCCCTTTAAGCTCATTATAGAATGCATTTAATTCATTAAACCCAGCCATAGCTGCTTGCCGCAGTTAACCATGTCACTTTTTATATTGATCTTGGCAGCATCAAATGATAGAGAGCACTGCTATATTTAGGAATGCGCTGTATAGTTGAGTGCGCTTTTGGCATTTAAAGAGTTGATTGAAGTGCCTGGATCCCAGCGGTGAAATGATGACCTGCATTATAGCAGTTTGAGTCAACTTGCTGCATCCTCTAACTCAGTGGTCCCCAATCCTGGTCCCGGAGAACCCCCAACACTGCACATTTTAGTCTTCCTTATTAAACGCACCTGATTCAACTCAGCTCATTTGTAAAGACTCCAGTTATATACCTCAAACTATTTTACAATATTGGGATGAATGAAACTCAGGTGCCATGTGCAAATAAACGCCACCCATCCTGCTTCGGAGCTCTATGTATGAAATCACGTCTTATATTTTGTTCATATTTCTCTGTGTTGTGTACATATGTAGATCCAGATGACTTCTTGGAGAAAATGCGTTTAGCACTGGAGAGTCAGTATGTGTCTGAACACCTGCACGAGTGGATTGATCTGATTTTTGGCTACAAACAGAGGGGAAGTGAAGCTGTGGCTGCCCATAATGGTAAAATAGACAAACGCAGATTGGCATCAGTCAAATATTCAGTTATAAAACAGTGTTTTAAAGTATGAAGGATTAGTGTGTTATTGATATTATTTTATTGTGAATAAAAACAATGACGTTTACTATATTACAGTTTTCCATCCATTAACATATGAGGGAGGAGTTGACTGCGATAGGTAAACTTCATTAAATTAAAATATATCCCTAATTAAATAGCTCATACTGTACTTGACTGCCTGAATATCTTTTTGATCCAATTTGTATGTTATTTATATTTGTCAGTGTACATTTGTCAGTGTGTATGTCTGTGTTTCTGCAGTATTGAGGACCCAGATCAGAAAATAGCCATGCTAACTCAGATATTGGAGTTTGGACAAACGCCACGACAACTCTTTGTCACTCCTCATCCTCAGAGGATCACTCCACGCTTCCACAACCTGTCAGGAACCCCCAGCCTCAGCAGCAGTGAGCTCTCACCATGTACGAGAGAATCACACATATACTGCTCTAATGGTGTTTGCGTTAGTTCAGTTTTCACTTTAAAGTATGTACTACCAGTGTGCACAGTAATTATGCTCCATTGCAATGGTTTTCAACTGATATGGCTTTGAGGCCCACATTTTCCCTTGGTCATTAGGTCACGACTCAAATTAAAAGCCAAGCAAATGTATTTCATAAAACATAAACAAATACTGTTAAGCCCTGTTATTGCCGCAGTTAAGCAACATGATTCCATTCATTTTCAATGGAGAGCTGGTGATTTCCGGCGACACAAGCACCAGTGACCTTTGCCAACCGGTAGGTGTATCAAGTGATGCATCAAAGATAAGTTGTTTAACGTTAACCAAATAAGCAGCAATAAAGCGTTGTTTAAAGCTTTGTTGAGACTGTCAGTCCAAATCTGATTTTTGTGCATGTCCGATTGGAATCCGATCATATTTAGCGAGTGTAAACGAAAAAAAAAATCACATGAAATACAATTTTGTACAAATCCATTCATATGTTGTTTGAAATCCTATTCAAATCGCATTCCTGTAAATCCGTTCCAGTCTGACCAATTTCTTTGCACAAACAAGGTTCTGTTGTTGCTAATGCAAGTCAAACAGAAAATAATATACTGCTGGTCTACACCTCTTTGAGTTTTCAGACTTAAATCAGATTCCAATCGGGGAAACAAATAATCAGATCTGAATAAGACCTGAACTATTCTTAAACTACTCACCACAAACAAATTTCCAGCTGTTCATCTGGGAAATGGCTCGGTGCTAATTCTCTCCTTTATAATCAAACAACATTCTTTCCAGCCTAATGTACCAGTACCACTGAAAATGGACCTTATCCAACCGCAGCTTCCGTCTCTCGCTATGCAGAGTTGAAATGGTCCTAAAAAAGAATGGACTTGTAACAAGGTTCCTAAAATAATCAATTGGAGTGTTCATTTCGTGGTGGGGTTTTTTCTTTTTAAATATGAAAAAATCAGGAAAATGACAAGCAGAGAGCTGGCAAAATATATGAATAGTGACTATTTGCTCTCGCATGTTAAAATGCAATCTGCAGCAGCATGGTTGGACATTCTACGTACTGATTTTTTGAGTTTAATCAAGGATGTGATAATTTTTTTCAACCCTTCATTTAAGCAAAATTGCAATTTTAAAGATAATACATTTCAGTAGTCACCGTTAGGAAATATAAATATATCTTTATGTAGATTGGTTGATCTCAACATTTGTGATGGTAAAAACATAAGAAATAAATGTGTTCAAAGGGAGTTGCACATGTACTGTAATACTCATTTCATAAGCAAAGATGTTATCCAATCATAGCAGTGGGAATTTTTACTTTTGTTCATCATAAAAATAATTTTTTCATGCCTTAGAATGGCTTGAATGTGACTCTTCACCCTGACCACTTTTAGTATATGTGGAACTATGAATATGCTAATTAAACTTTGAAAGTGTAATTTTTCTTTGTAAATTGTGTCAATTTTTGATGCTAAAATCCTTCTAACAAAAGTGTTTTGTGTAGCGTCTCCAAGTATGGAATCATTTGAGGACCTGACTGAGGAGAGTAAGAAAATGGCCTGGAGCAACATGAACAAGCTTGCATCGCAGTCTCGCCACAAAATACACAAAGAGTGAGTATCTGTTAAGTAGCTTATCTTTGTAATTGCATGTTTGAAAAACAAAGATTAATATTGGATTTTTAAATGTACTTTTGACCCTTTTATTTTGGTTCCGCAGAGCAGTAACGGGCATTGCTGTGACCCTCAGTGGGGATTCCATCTTCTCAACTTCTCAAGGTTAGGAATTCATCAGTTATTTAGTCTCATTAGTGTATGACAGATTCCTATAAAGTAGCTGAGTTTAATTCCTCAGAACTTAAATGATTAAATGATCACCTCTCACAGGAAGTATAAGTAAAAATGTCCTTTATCGTTACGTAGACTCCACATTGAAGATGTTCTCGAAAGAAAATGGACTGCAAAGAAGTATGTCCTTCTCGAACATGGTAAGCTTTCTAACAGGGGCGGACTTACCCATTAGGCAAAGGTAGGCGACCGCCTTGGGCCCCCAAAAGCCAAGGGCCCCCTAAAATGCTTTTCATATAGGATATGCGCATTAAGCGCGGACGTTTGCTGTTTACGGTGTTTATTACCATGACAACCATCCGAGTCTGTGGCGCCTGCAGGTGTACGGCTGTATGCACTGTGAGTACCATGAGCGCTCGGACTGATCTGAGATTTGCCCCGCAAACATTTCAGCAGTTATTATAGGCCTGTGTGTCACGTATTTCTGTCGACTGAACCCATGCCGTTAATTATGAATTTATAAGTCTTTTGCATGCCAAAGTCAATTTCTGCATAGAAATATTACGCCAAATAGAAGCAGAAAACCGTGCTATACGCACTTTCATGAGATCAGGTTAGCATACAACAATTAATTTGTTGGCTAAATCAGAAAAGGCAGCTATACAATTATAGGACAAAGTTTTCATATATGCCATTATAATTAGTGTTTTATTTTTTAACTGTACGGAATTATAAAATAAAACGCAAATTATAATCGGGCCTTCCATCAATTATAGTGATGAAAAAATGACTCGCCATCTCCTAGTTGGATGTGCCTTTTGAGAGAAATGCACGGATTACATAATGAAAGTGTTTATTTTATTAGGAGTCTATTTTCGATTTGAATTATTTCGTTTTAAAGTAGTAATTTAAAGCTTTCTATATATTTTGATCATGTCTGAGTTTAGGTTCATCATTGTGAAGCGCTCCTGTTCAAGACCGAGACGGCAGAAAGCGTTTGTTTTCTTTATTTTATAAAAGCACAACGTTTTGTTGATATTGTGAGTGCACACAGATAAAACTAGCCCCTTTACAGTTTAGAATAATGTATTACTCTTACCTTTATGAGCAAAAATGACTGCGTATTTTAAGTTGTTAACACTGTTAGATAAAAATGCAAGTGATCGCACTGGTCCTGCAGAGCTTCAGCTTCCACTCCTCCGCAAACTATTGGATATGCACATTTATATAGATTAAACATTTAAATTAACATTGTGATATACTTGAACTGTTTTATATATAGATTTTATTTTAGGCAAGTCCTGATGATTTGAGAAGGCTAAATTGATCAAACATTGGCTATAGGCTTTGATGAAATTCACTGTCTGCCGCTGGCCTTTACTTAAAAAAAAAAAAAAAAAAAAAAACTTGCATTTAACGAACAAAAAATACTCCAAATGTTTTTCTAAATTTACTTTATAAAAAAATGAAACGAAATATAATCACTTTTCCATTACATACAAAACTGAACTATTTTAATAGCTGAAACAGTAGAATAAGCGTTTGTGGGGGAAAAAGACTGGCTAGGGCCTATATTTGAGACCCGTGCAGGGCTTTAATCCACTTCATCCAATGCTGTTTTGTTCTCATCTGTGAGCATGCGCTTGATATATGTATTTTAGGTGTGTAAATGTATAATTGCCTTATTTTTTCAGTTTTATTTAAATTTGTAGTTAAAACAACTAAAAATAAATGTATTTTAAAGTTTAGAATTAGACAGACTTTGCACACAGGCTTACGCTGAAAACAACAAAATGGAACCTCAAGGTTGATCTAGGAAAATGTGTGCAAATGTATAGGGCCCCATTCCTATATTTTGCCTGGGGCCCCCAATTCACTAAATCCGCCCCTGCTTTCTAGAGATTGTAGTAAACATAGTGGCCCCAAAAGTTATTTGAACTTAAGCAGCACTTAAAAAAAAATCAGTCTATTTAATTGCAGTAGACAATAAATTACACAATAGTGTTTTTTATTCCCCCATCTGGGCCACTTTTCAATCCTGTTCGTGAGGAATCTTTGCTCTGCACATGTTGTACTGTATGTCTATCTAACACATCTGATTCAGATGATCAACTCTTTAAGAGAGAGCTCTATGATCTGAGGTGTCTCAGGCTCTGTCCACATTAATATGGATAAGTTTTCTCATTTTCACTTTCATCCACTCTGAGATGGTGTTTTTGTCCAGCAAAAACCGAGCTTTCTGAAGATGCTGTTTTTGTGTTACTCTGAAAAAGGTGTTATTAAAAAATAATGACGCATGTTTAGGTTGTTTTAAATATTTTTTGGGGGTCACTCTATACCACGGCCAGGTTAGAATTAAATCTTTTTGGGGGTCACTCTATACCACGGCCAGGTTAGAATGAAATCTTTTTGGGTGTCACTCTATACCACAGCCAGGTTAGAATGAAATCTAACTAAAACAATTTTTTTCTCTCGAATTACCCTTAAGGCACTGTCCTCCTGTCTGATGCTGCCTGATGATAAGATTGTGGTATGCTCCTCCTGGGACAACAACGTGTAAGCATTTATATAGTAACCACAATCATATCCATACAAATATGTAATCAATTTAATAAATTTCTAAATTTCTCTCATTTTTATCACTCTTTTGCCCCTTTTTTTCTGTTCACCTACTCTTCGTTCCCTTTCTTGTTTTTTGTAGATATTTTTACTCAATAGCATATGGAAGAAGACAAGACACTTTGATGGGTCATGATGATGCAGTTAGTCATATTTGCTGGAGGGATGACAAACTTTACACAGCATCTTGGGATTCTACTGTGAAGGTATTCTAAATTAATCTAGCCAAGTTTGCTTTAAGTTTTAACTCTATGAGCAGAGCTGAATGTACTGTACAGTTACCAAGGACACCTTGTTTACTTGGTACTAAATGTTTTAAATAAACCTTTATATTAACATTTTTATTTCTGGTGAACTAGAAAAAAGAAAAGAAAAATCGCTGATTTCAGTAGGATCATGACATGAAATTTAACTTATGAAATCTGTAAAGTTAAATCTGTAAATCTGTAATTTATCTTTCCTTTTATATGGTTCAAATGATTAAACCTATTTCAAAATAAATAACAATTTTTATGTTAATCACTGTTTCAATTGACTTCCTACTTTCTCTGTTTTACTTCAACAGATTTGGAAATGTGTAGCAGATGACATCTCCAGTAATAAAAGGACTCAGTTTGACCTGCTTGCTGAATTTGAACATGAGGCCGGGGTTAGTGCTGAGGAATCTTTAAAAAACTGCAATATAGGCAACTGTGTCAAACAGCTGATTATTCATTTTTGTCACTTTTCAGAGCTGAGGTGTAAAAGTTTAGTCTCTTTCGTTTTTCAAATTAAATGTTAAGTCTCATAAACCTACTATACACAGATATTTGTTTTTATGCCAGACTGTACAACAAATTGTAGCAGAGACATCTAAGCAGCGCTGTTGACGAAAGCCAGTCACATACCTGACAATAAGCACGTACAATAAGTAATTTTTAAGAATTGAACAAAGTGCCATTGAGTTTGAACAATGTTTGAAAAAAACTGGAATAGGAATCTATTATTAGATTTCTCTATATAACTTTATTCAAGCTGCAAAAAGGCTATTTATTTACTGAAAAACGTGCAAACTAATAATCTTTGAGCCGATGGTGAAGTCATGTACGTTAAATTACATCATACTTGCCCCAAATCATTGCATATTGCATTGCAGGATTGCATATTTTGCTTAAATAAAGCTATCACGCAGTAGTTATACTAGCTAGGTTGGACTAAATGTTGGTTAGTTATTGCAATACAATTGCCATAAATTTAACTAAAATGTAATTGTTTGATTTATATTTACATTTACATTGTCATTTAGCAGACACTTTTATCCAAAGTGACTTACAAATGAGGACAATGGAAGCAATCTAAATCAATAAAAGAGCAATGATATACAAGTGCCATAACACGTCTCAGTTAGCTTAACGCAGTACACGTAGCAAGGTATTTTTTTTATTAAGGCCTTTTTTGCTTTTGTTAATTGTATAATAAATAAAAAGAAAACATATAGAATACAGAAAGATTAGAGAAGGTAGTGTTCGTTTTTTTTTTTACAAAAACAAGCAGTTAGTAAATAGAGTGCAAGTCTAAAAAGGGCATTTTTTTTAAAGAATAGAATTAGAATAGCAAATGCTAGAGTTAGAGGGTCAAATAAAGATGGAAGAGATGTGTTTTTAGCGATTCTTGAAGATGGCTAAGGACTCAGCTGCTCTGAGTGTTATATTTGCTTACATTACAAGATCTTGGGTAACAGAGTTAATTGGTTGAGCCTGACATATTCATTATGTAAAAAGTTATTACTTGCTTGTCTTCCCACCATGTTATACAAAGTGGCTAAATGATTTCCATGCCACAATTTTGGGAGAGTTTAGTTTTTTAATAATGTAAGTCATGTAGGGTTGTACACAAATTTTAAATAAGTGATAAATTATCAAAAACATTTATCAATTGTAAATTTGTTGTTTCAAATTGTTGTTCAATTGTACATTTATGAGTGAACTGATTCTAGTTGTGCCCTAATGAAGAAAAGTGCCTTTATATTATTTTGTCAAAAATGTAACATTTATGTAATTTATATATTGTATATACATATTTACAGGTAAATACTTTAGATCTCAGCCCAGCTGGCACACTTTTGGCAACGGGTACTAAAGAAGGAACACTTACTCTTTGGGACATTGCCAACCCTCTCCCACTAAATCAACTGACCTGCCATTCTGGAAAGATTCATCAGGTGGCCTTCAGTCCTGGTGAGTGCGTGTAATGCATATTTATGTAAGAAAATTGATCAAGATCTCTTTGACTTTTGTTGTTTTTGTTTTTTTGAGGGGTAATTTTGTATCATTTTGTTTCTGTGTTCAGACAGCAGACATGTACTGAGTGTTGGGGAGGACTCGTGTTTGGTGGTTACAGATGTGCAGACAGGCATGCTCCTCGCTACTGTACATGCAGAGCAAGAGCAGAGGTGAACAGAACACACACAATATATATATTGCACAGTGTTTCATGTTAAGGAGATATTATATCAACATGCACCGCTTCCTATATTTTCTAAGCCAAAGATCACTTTCCTCCTTTTAGGTGTTTCTGCTGGGATGGTAACACTGTGTTGTCTGGAGGGATGTCAGGAGATCTCAATGTATGGGACCTCCTTAGCAGTAAAGTCATCCACAAGATACCTGCTCACTCAGGTAAACACACACCAGTGAGTCTGACCAGGGGTGCGTTTCCCAAAACTATCGATAGTCGACTATGGTAGCAATTTCTGTTGAACACTGTTGAGTTGCTTTTGGGAAATGCCCCTTTGGTCTGACCAACTGCCATTGTCACTCATGTTGGTGTGAGCCATGACTTTAGTCATTTGAAAGGGATAGTTGATGTTTCTGTGCGTTGATCATGGTGGTAATATCCTTGCTGTCTATGGAGGGTCAGAGAGCTCTCAGATTCCATCAAAAATATTTTAATTTGTGTTCCGAAGATGGGTGAACTATCCCTTTAAATGCTCTGTATAGGCAGAAACTCACACACCCACACTTCATGTGAGATGTACAAGATTTTTGACTTAAAACAAATTCCAATTGTTGGACATTAGTTTATTGCTAAGCAAACAATGTGATACTCTGAATAAAAATGCATAAACATAAATATTGTACTCACTAAATATTGTATGTACATTTTAATTACACTGGGCTAGTTTTATCTTTTTCTTTTAATATTGGAATCTCTCTCAACATTCTCTTAATTGTTTGCCGTTTTGGATAGCTTGAGGAAAGTGGGATTTTCTTTCTGGATTAAGGATAGTGGCTTAGAATTTAGTCAAAATGCATACTATTTTTGTTTAGTGTAAAATTTTGTTAGTCAATTTTTTTGACAGTTTTAGTATATGTAGCACTCTTTGTAGGTAACATTCCAGATTTTGAAACATTAACCTGACTGTGCATCTTTAATGCAGGTGCAGTCACGTGTATGTGGATGAATGGACAATGCAGTACTATCATCACGGGCGGTGTGGACAAACAGATCATTCTTTGGAAACCGGAGTATTAACAGTAACACTTCAATAATGTTCGATAAAACAATTCAGCCATTTTTCAGACCAAAAAGGTCCATTTTCACCATGTGATTTCATGGGACAATTTGAACAGTACTGAAATCCTCTAAAATAGAAATCTTGACAATGTGTTTGATATATTTGGGCAAAGTTTTATGATAAGGTTGGTTATACAGATTGCAGGGTTTTAAAAACTGTAAGCACCGTGTAGTTTTACATTATTATTTAGCGGGTTTTGTTTTTTAAGATCTGAACGCTAGCTCTGTTTGGTAACTGGAATGTTACCAAAAGATATGGATGTCCTATTTGGCTAAGTGATTTTTTTTCTTTCTTTTAATTTTATACATGTATAACATTTGGCATGTCAAATCTCTTTCAAAACATGCATAAAAACAGCAACAATTCATATGATTTATAAAAGACAATCAGTTATTATGATTGTCGTTATTATTATTGCTTTTGATAAATGTAACCGCCAAATCATACTTATTAAAAATCATAATACATCATGCTTGCAAATTTTACGAAATTCTGCAATCAACTCTTGACACCTTTATTATAGGTGACTGAGGAATGTTCAGAAGTATTAAGTAGTTATATATAGTATATGTTTGATGTACTGAAGGTTTGCTGCAGTCTTTTTGAGTGATAGATATTTGATGGGGCTCTTTTTTTTTAATGTGCCTTAGTTTTTAATGGTTTGAACTTGAGCGTTACTTTTAATGCCCACTCTTAAATATGCTTGCATCTTCAGCTAAAATATATACATAAAAAAAAAGTTATGTATGACAATATATTTAAGTGAAAGTTAGAGTAAAACATTCTGCAATATAATAAACTATAGCGTTACGTCTTAACAGGTTATGGATGCATAATTTTATATTTCATACACTTATTTATGTTACAACGCTTTGAAAATTTTCTCTTCAGTGAAGAACAAAAAAAAAAAGAAATTAAATCAGTATCACAAGATTATGCAATATTATGTAAACCCTCAATGAGCTCACAAGTTATTAAAGGGATAGTTCTGTCAAAAATGAAAACCATCATCCCCCATGTTTTTCCAAACCTGTATAACTTTCTTTATGCTTTGGAGCACAAATGAATATATTTTGGTAAAATCTTAACTTTTTTTTTCTTCTACATACTGTACAAAGAAATTCAGTGGGGTCAAATGTTGTTTGGCTCCAGTGTTATAGAAAATATCATCTTTTGTGTTCTGTGAAGAAAGAAATGAAGAAATGCATGTGGAACCACAAGAGGGTGAGTAAATTATAACAGAATTTTCATTTTTGGGTGAATAATTCTTTTAAGTACAAAAAGTGGCATTTTATGTGTGGACTACATGTTTTAGTATATTAGGTTTATGTATTGGACTCATTTTCTGTTCGTTTTGGGTTTCAGTTTTGTTTTTTTTTGTTTTTTTTACTATGTATTGTATTGCCTCTTGGGAGAAAACTCCTGGAATTCCAAAATGTCTTTACAAATGCACAAATGTTGTTTGTTTGTTTCTCTGTTTATGTTATACTGGACAGTTATTTCTTTTAAAAGCTCTCCTCTTTGTTTTTTTGTAATAAATAGTAACATGACTAAATACACAGATGCCGATTAAAACTATCATCTACTCACTGGCTATGTTAGTGTGCATGTGTGTGCTTATATACTATGTGTGCATATTATTCAAATATATTACTATTTCTTTAGTATTTTAGTATTTTTTCAAATTAAAAGTAATAGATTATGTGTGCGTATATACACCACCATGTTTTGGGCTTATTTTTTTTTTGGTTTTGGTTTTAATTTTTTTTTTTTTTTTTTTTTACTATGTATTGTATTGCCTCTTGGGAGAAAACTCCTGGAATTCCAAAATGTCTTTACAAATGCACAAATGTTGTTTTGTTTCTCTGTTTATGTTATACTGGACAGTTATTTCTTTTAAAAGCTCTCCTCTTTGTTTTTTTGTAATAAATAGTAACATGACTAAATACACAGATGCCGATTAAAACTATCATTACTCTGATTATATTTTTACATTGTTTAAAACTCTCCTTTGGTGTGTTCATTTATATAGCACTATGAAGCTTTTACAATGAATTAGGCACTCTTCTTCGTAAAACTGCTTTATTTCACACACATTGGAGGGTTTTTGAGCATGAACTGCCCATTTTAGTTCCAGGATCTCAGTTGGGTTCAAGACTTTGACCATGCCACTCCTAAACCCTAATGGTTTGAGCCATTCAGAGGTTGACTTACTCGTATGGAGTTTGCTTGTTCTCCCTGTGTCTGCGTGGGTTTACGCCGGGTGCTCTGGTTTCCTCCCACAGCCCAAAGACATGCAGGTTAGGTTAATCGAACATTCTAAATTGTCCCCGGACGTGTGTGTAAATACCAGACTTGTGTATGGATTATCTGGTTCTCGCCATGAATATAGCCATAGATGCTGGATTGGTGTTAAGAAAGAAATAAACAAATGTACTCGTATGCTTTGAATCATTGTCTTGCCACTTAATCTTGTTGCACTCGAACTTGGAGTCCAAGAGATTTTAAAATAGTTATTTTAAAATCTCTTGGACTCCAAGAGATTTTAAAATAGTTATTTTTCACACTGGGCTAGTTTAGAAAACCTTTTTTTTTTTTTAACGTAGGTTTTTTCACATCAGTAAGGATCAAATATGCGTGAGAAACCTATTTTTAGTATGTACATAAGCCATACAACACTGCATTTCAAATAAGGTTTCTTTCAGTGTTCCAGTAATTCAATCACTCTTTAAACTGAGATCAATGTGAAGGCATCTAATGTACTCTACTTTTCAAAATTAAGACAAAAAGTATATAGACACCAGTGTTAATGGTGAATAACCGCTTTGGTATTCTTGTGTGAACTTGACCTTAATTCTTTTGAATGGAGGTAAAAATGTTTGATTGACTAGTCAACCCGCCTTAGTCACTTTATTCCAATAATATAACTGAACAATTGGCAGGGGAAAGGAAAGGAAGGGTCAAGTGCAGGGGTCAACAAACTTGAGCGTGGCGGGCCGGTGTCCTGACATTTACCCTGCATCCCAATGTGCATACTATCTGCCCTAAATAGTATTGAAAATTGCTAATATCACATATAATTTAGGATGGATAGTATGCACATTGGGCTTAGCTCCAACTTGCCTCAACACACCTGCCTGGAAGTTTCACGTAAGATGTTGATTAGCTGGTTCGGGTGTGTTTAATTAGGGTTGGAGCTAGACTCTGCAGGACACTGGCCCTCCAGGACCGAGTCTGGTGTCCCCTGGTCAAGTGGTTAACACATTTAAAAAATATGACTGGTCTTTCTCCACACCTGCTATATGAGGTTTATATTTGTCCAGAGGTCAAACAGAACAGTAAGTTACATAACTGACAAGTAGTGATGTGTTTGTTTTTCCACTGTGTTTGCCAATGCATTAGATAAATGTCAGTATTTGCAATTAATTCAATTCATTCCTACAATGCAGATTAGAATTATAGGTTTGATAATTTGTAATAATCCGGTACCCTGACTGAACCTGGTTTCTTCCAAGATTTTTTTTTTCTGATGGAGTTTGGGCATGTTTTATCTTGCTCAGTTAGGATCTGAAACTCTCCCTGTGTCTGCGTGGGTTTACGCCGGGTGCTCTGGTTTCCTCCCACAGCCCAAAGACATGCAGGTTAGGTTAATCGAACATTCTAAATTGTCCCCGGACGTGTGTGTAAATACCAGACTTGTGTATGGATTATCTGGTTCTCGCCATGAATATAGCCATAGATGCTGGATTGGTGTTAAGAAAGAAATAAACAAATGTACTCGTATGCTTTGAATCATTGTCTTGCCACTTAATCTTGTTGCACTCGAACTTGGACTCCAAGAGATTTTAAAATAGTTATTTTTCACACTGGGCTAGTTTAGAAAACCTTTTTTTGTTTTTTTTTTACGTAGGTTTTTTCACATCAGTAAGGATCAAATATGCGTGAGAAACCTATTTTTAGTATGTACATAAGCCATAGACACTGCATTTCAAATAAGGTTTCTTTCAGTGTTCCAGTAATTCAATCACTCTTTAAACTGAGATCAATGTGAAGGCATCTAATGTACTCTACTTTTCAAAATTAAGACAAAAAGTATATAGACACCAGTGTTAATGGTGAATAACCGCTTTGGTATTCTTGTGTGAACTTGACCTTAGTTCTTTTGAATGGAGGTAAAAATGTTTGATTGACTAGTCAACCCGCTTAGTCACTTTATTCCAATAATATAACTGAACAATTGGCAGGGGAAAGGAAAGGAAGGGTCAAGTGCAGGGGTCAACAAACTTGAGCGTGGAGGGCCGGTGTCCTGACATTTACCCTGCATCCCAATGTGCATACTATCTGCCCTAAATAGTATTGAAAATTGCTAATATCACATATAATTTAGGATGGATAGTATGCACATTGGGCTTAGCTCCAACTTGCCTCAACACACCTGCCTGGAAGTTTCACGTAAGATGTTGATTAGCTGGTTCGGGTGTGTTTAATTAGGGTTGGAGCTAAACTCTGCAGGACACTGGCCCTCAAGGACCGAGTCTGGTGTCCCCTGGTCAAGTGGTTAACACATTTAAAAAATGTGACTGGTCACACCTGCTATATGAGGTTTATATTTGTCCAGAGGTCAAACAGAACAGTAAGTTACATAACTGACAAGTAGTGATGTGTTTGTTTTTCCACTGTGTTTGCCAATGCATTAGATAAATGTCAGTATTTGCAATTAATTCAGTTCATTCCTACAATGCAGATTAGAATTATAGGTTTGATAATTTGTAATAATCCGGTACCCTGACTGAACCTGGTTTCTTCCAAGATTTTTTTTTTCTGATGGAGTTTGGGCATGTTTTATCTTGCTCAGTTAGGATCTGAAACCGTTTCAGTAATGTATTGATATGACCACACTGACTGGCACTATCAAATGAGAACAAAACTTGAACTGAATTAATCTGGATGATGACACTCGTCAGAGCTTCATAGCTGAAATGCATCTTGCAGCATTGACAGGCATTGAACTGAATTGATCATTGAACTGACCTGAGCTGAATAATGAATTTGCTACCCTTTGTAGAACTGCCTATAGCCAAATGAAACTTATTTTTGATCTGACCTGAATGATCACTGAACTGACTTAATAACACAGTATTGTCTTTTAGAGCTGCACTACAGGTGCTTTACAGTTGTATCCAGTTGAGTTTCAATAACTGATTCCTGATACTTTTTACTTTCCTGATTCTGATACTTTTTATCCCTGTGATACTGCTTTGATGCAATCTATATTGTATGAAGTGCTATAGAAAGAAAGGTGACTTGCGTATTATAAT